TCATATATATATTGGGACAGAAAGATTGCCGGACACAATGGGCATTTGAACATCGAGGGTCCAGAGCCGGCTTGGTCCGTGCTGGGTTGGATAGCTTTGGACTCTGCCTGTGGATCAGTGTCCGGAGTTGAGGTCAAATCCATTGGTCCCCGGAGCTTCTTAGTAGCAGATGTCGGAGATGGAGCTTCATTAGGCAATTGATCTGTATCTGAGGCTATAGCTGGGTACCAAGCACGCTTCATGCATGGCATGACTGGGAAGTGCGCAGGATCAAACACATGGGCCGTCATGGCCGCCAATTGGAATATCACACTGCAAAAATGTGTCTGGACGTTGAAACTTTTGGTATAGCAAAGCGGGCATTCTGCACGGCCTGATCCGAAGTTGGCTATACCCCTGACCATATCCAAGTGAGTATTTGCTGGGCCAATCTTTTCCTGGTGTTGATCTCTGTAGTGACGTGTCATGGCTTTTGCATGGACCTGCTGATTGCAGAAGGCACAACCAGTGGCAAGTTCCTGGCACAGTGATTCGTCCAAATATAGGCCCATATACGAACGGTGGCGTATGTGCATGGCCACTTCAGCTCGGGATACAATCGGGATCACCAAAGCCTGACGCATGTCAAAAGCTGTGCAAATACGCTTTTTTATATGTGTATGTAAGGCCGTCATGATTGATTTTCGAATCATGCAATGACGATAGATACTGGTGCCATCTACGGAATCTCTTAAAGATTGATATACATCCTCAGGCAAGCACGCAATCTGATGCATCTGACGCATATGCCGTTTCAGCAACCCCGCCTGGTTGAACTGTCTATGGCATTCATGGCACTCTAGAGGTTGGGCCTGAGATGGGGCTAGGTGGAGTCAGTCGGAGTATCAAGTTGACTAATAGGGTAATCCGGGGTCAGGGCAATCACGTCAGGAGGTTGGTCCTCCATGGCGGTATCGATTGCTTGCTGGATTTTGTGCAGCAACGATTGGCGCAATCGAAGGTTGTGGCTCTGGAGAATCGCCCAAGGTGAAGGTTGATTCAATCTATGAAACAGGTCGTGCGTTGATTCATGCCTATAGTGCACATTGATGGTACTTATGATTTTACGAAAGCCCTTCTATGTTATTCCCGTTTCGTGGATACCGTACATGATCGTTGGCAATATACATTGTTGGTACAAGCGAAAACGAATGCTTTGCGGTATACATTGGGCTGTGAGCCACTGCCGCAAAATAGAAAAATATATTTGGGCCGCCTGGAGGCGACGGTGGACTGTGTCAACCTCCTATGCTCTGTAGCTAACGACCACTCCCAAGTAGGCTGTTTTGGAAACCATCGGCAGACGTGTTGAAGAGTCCGGCAGGGTCAGAAATGGCCCGGCCTTGGTGCGTTGGATCCACTATTTGGTGAATCGGATGGCCCCTTTTCCAACAACCCGGAACAAAACAACACTCTTGTCGAGATTAATAGAGAAGCCATACATTCGAAAGACCTGGAGGATATGATCAAGATCTGTCAGGGCTGCAAGGCCATCGGACAGGCGTTGCATGTCCCATCTCAAGTGGATGTCGTCGGCAAAAATGATGATGTGATCATGGATCCAGCGGTGCGAAAAATGTGCTGCCAAGTCTGTCAGCACCAAATGCATGCAGAATATCCATAAGATGGGACCATCTTTAGAGCCTTGACGAATCCCTCGGGAGGCCATATCTCATCAACCAACTATTTGTGTGGGATATAATACTTGTGAGGGGACAACAAGGTCTGAATCATGGTCTGGAGATCCTGTGGGATTTGCAGATATTGGAGGGTAAGACCAACGGTGTTTCGGCTGATCGAATCAAATACTTTATTCACGTCGAGGGAAACTTGAATGCCTCCGAACATACCATCAGCTGAATTATCTTTGCTGTATTCTTGACAGCGTGCACGAACCTGTCTGTAGTGCTGTGAGACACGAAGCAAACAATCAGCAGTATTCCGCTGCGGGAAATGGGCATGTAAGGGGAAATATCTAAGTTTATCGTGTGAGTATTGCAAAAGTTGGGAGGTGACAAAATTCGAAGCAATCTTGCAGACCGGATGCTGTAGGCATATGGGTCGAAGTGCCTGTGGCTTCGTGCTGGGTTTGCCCGGCTTTGGAATTAGGTGCAGCCAGCCTGCCGTCCATGCTTCCGGGGCCTGCGGGGGATTGACACGCCAACAATGGTCTAAAGCTTGAAAGGTTGAAGCAGCCAATTCACGGGCCAAAACTTTCCATATGATGGCCGGCAGACTCGGTGGTGCCACTGCTTTGGTGGCCGGCATACGATGCAGAGCATCATGTACGGTTGTTTCATCAAAGGATAATACCTGCAATGGTGGCCGAACCGGGGGGGTGAAAGTCTGGGTCATGGAATTGTGTCCCAAAATATTGAACAAGTGCATCCAATTCCTATTTGGGATTCAAAGGCTGTCCATGTGAATCGAATATATGGATGCATTTGTATCTCTGTTTTGGGCACAGCTGACGGATTCTGCGAAAGAAGTCGAATGATTGATGGCGTATGGCCAAAGCAGCCCCCTCCTGGAGAAATGCTTCCAATTTTGTCTTTTTGTTGGTCTTATTATACTGCTTGATCTTTTTGTGCAACATGCGACACCGAGTCAAATAATACCACCCATGAAACACCGACTTCATATTGAGATCAGGTAATGCAAGTGCAATCTTACGAGCCTGCCACATCTGGGCAATAAATGATCGAAAGGCAGGATCCGGTGGAACCTGCTGCCGCACTGTTGGAAAAAAATCCTAACATAATTGCACCAGGGTTTATTCCAAGTGCAGGTTAAGATCAATCGGAGAGCCCGTGTGGTGGCAGGCTGCAATGATTTGACGTGCCTTCTCAACGAACTGTGTCCACTGCTGGGTATTCTGTGTCCAGGCCTGGCGGAGGCGGAATCGGTTGATACCCACGAGGTTCTGAGCTTTGGGAGTTGGGAATCATTTAAATAATTACAAACTCAGGGGGTAGTGTCTCGGGCCTTGGTTGCCATACAAAAAGTCAAAGTTTGGATGATGCTGTGGTTGCAGTGTGCGCCAAGAGATTTGCTCCTTTCGCATAAGCACGAAATCTATCCGGATATTATAATTATCATGGACAAAGATAGGATGAAAAACTTTAATATGGACAACTACCAAGTTGTAGTCCTGGACCAGGGAGTCGAACAGGGCCCGGTCAGTCTGGGCAGCTTTGGCATACTTGGGATCCACCGTGAAGACATGCTGACCATCATAATCAAGTGTTGTGTTATAATCATCGCCTAACAATAGAAGGTTATTTGCTAGTGTGTCACGAATGCACTCCTAGAAACAAGTCCAAATTCGTTTTCGTTTTTGCAATAATTGCAATTAATTTCCACCTGAGTTCCATGCATGTTGATACATAGCATAAACGTCATGGGGTCGATACAGTTATATGCGGATTTGCAAAATCCTGCCGGATATATAATTGGCAATCCATGGATTATATCCATGCCATAACGGAGTACTCCACTCACTAATAATGTGCCAACCGATCTCCTAAGCAATAATAATATCATACTGGGATCGATTATACCAGTCGAGCCAACTTGCATAGTGTAAGGATCTGGAGGCGTTCCTTTGAAGCGCGCGAAATAGACCTGTGTGGGCTTGATTAAGATGGGACTCTTTGGACTTAGGGGTCTATCGATATTTCCGCATCCATAATTATAAAACCTAAGCCAGATAACACCCATATCTAATGCTTATCGGGGCCTTAAAGAGGTCGCGACAGCCTCTTAGTATTTCGTCCGACGGTCAAGGCTATTATAAAGACGATACGGGCTCTCGTATTCTCCTAAGGCTAAAAAGGCAACCCTCATATCCGGAATAAAAAATATGCATATAAAAAATTCAAATCTTCCCATCCCGCCTAGATGTAAAACCAATTTCTATAAAATACGAAAGAACGAAAAAAAAAAAATGCGAAAATTATATATTCGGAAAAATCGTAAACTACAAATAACGGTTTTATATATTTTTATATCAAATATATAATTTTTATATATTATATAATCTATTTATTTTATTCAATTCTAAATAAATATATTATTTATTTTCTAAATTAATATTACTTTAATTATATATTATTATCATTATTCTCGATCGATTAAATGCTCTCAACCCATATTAAATTTATAATCGAACGATCAATCGATTACTTCGTAAATAGTTATGCGAACAATAATATACTTAATAAATCGAACAAAAAATTCTTAGGCTCAATTATCTTACCGAAAATAAATATTAAAGCCGACTTAACCACAAACTAAAACAAATAAATATCAATCTCCATCTCCAAGAAATAAAAACAAATAACAACAATCCTATAATTATCTATTAAAAAACAATTTCCATCTATATGCAAAATTCCTTAATAATATCCAATAATATATATTATATTTTTATCTTAATATATTATTTACTATATGCAATTTAATAATTCCATCCATTATCTATATTTATGTTAAAACGATATAAAATACATATCGTTTTTAAATAGATTATTCTTTAAATCTTTAATTAAAAATAATTAATATTTATAGAATATAGTATAAAAACAAAATATATTTAATATTATATATATATATTGTAACAATCTGTACTTAAGATCCAATATATCTTTTAACATGTTCAACAGAGTTGAAATCATTCAAGAGAATGTCCCCGAATGACCTGAATCTGTGGGATTTGAAGAATTCTACAATCAATTTTCTCATCATCATTTCCTCGAACATATGGATCAAATTTCCAACCTTGTTTCTTGCATGTGCATCTCAGCTCGTGATTGATGATGGCATCTATTTTTCTGTTGAAAGGCCCCTTCACCTAACTCAGAGTTTGCGAGTCCCCGTTGTTTTGGCTACTGTTTTCGTTTTTGTGCTATTGCAGTGTCCCAACTCCCTATCACTCAGCAGCTGAGCGGACCACCTGGCCTTCACAAGCGGAGCACCTGACCAAGGCACAGAATCTTCATGCAGAGCACACATGGCCTCGAGGAACACCATTCAATGCTCCTCTCGTGGATCCATTGGTCTGTAAAGGCGTTGTCTTTAAGGAATCCTGTCTTCAGGAACTCTGCTCAAAGTCTCCGCACCAATCTGATCTATACTGCCACCAATACTCCAACGCTACCCCGCCCTGAAACTAATGAACAAGAGCTGGTTTTTGTTCAGGCAACCTCTGTCTTAGAAAAGGGGTTGAAGCAGCAATGCTCGCACTAGTGTTGCAATCTAAACAGGCTCTACGTATCCTGTTTACCCTAGTCGACGCAGCTCCAGGTCTTGCCTCTCGCACATCCTTCAAGAGAGTCGTGATGGTTGTTCCATCATCTTGAGGCAATGCCTTTTCAGCGTGGGAAGCGTTGGACGTCTTGGACGTTTTTGCGTGATCTGCAAGGCCAACGTCATGACGAACATGGAAACCTTCACCCAGTGGTGTGAACGAGATGGAATCTTCATCGGCTATAGGAACATTTAGGAACCAAAAAAAGTGTCCATCACTGAACATCATCACAGCCGTGGAGTTCCTCAAGAAATCTCAAGAACATATTCAAAACATTTCAAAACGACATGATGCACGAACATTTTGCAACAAGGTTCTTCGAAGCATCAATAAACTAGAGCTAAACATATTGCAAAAACATGGTGGCACGGCTCTTTGCAACCGTGCGTTTGTGATCGCGGGTGAGCAAAATGAGCAAACCGTCTGCGTTTTGAGCACTGGTTAAAAAGTACAAATTGTGCGACGGACGGCGAAAAGTTGTCAAGCGGTCATTTTCTGCTTCGAGTGGTTGCGGTTTCATGCTTAGGAATTATGCCGATAGATCCATTGGAAGATTCTCTCCCAGCAATAAAGTGCAGCGATAGACGTACAAAGACTTTGGCCAGCAACATGCATCAGCATCCCACGTAAGTGCGCATGAACATTAACATAAGCCATAGCATCAACATCCCATGCAAGTGCACATGAACGTTAACGTGCCCCACCCCACCCCACCCCACCCCAGTTAACATGAACGTTAACATAACCCATAGCATCGTATACATGTACTGTACGAGAAACAGTAAAAATGTGAACGCCTCCACGGTTGTGAAAATCCGTGTCACCAAAAACATGGCCTTAAAGTGTTTGCATAATGTTTGCTAACAAGGGTGTGGTTGGGGAACTCCCTTTAGCTCCCTGGCTCCCATATTCTTTCGTCCAGGTTCAGGTTCGGCAGAAACATGAAAAAGTCGGCCCAAAAGGGGATTGAACACTTGGACCAAGGAGAGAAGGGCACAGGCAATCAATTCTGTTTGCCGCATGAAGCTTCCGGCACCCTGGGCTGGCTGGTGCGATTCGGAGCCGGGGGTATCCATATTCCCTATCCACCCCATGGATCGGGCTCCACCCCAGTGGATCCTACGGTATACGTTGGTGTCCGATCCATTGAAATCATGCAGTATGTAGCACCACTACAAAACTAAAGATTCTATCTCAACAGGCTTCAGGTTGGGACCAGTAATCTGAGAGCCAAACTTTGAACAAGGCTCTTGACGTCTCTTGAACCATTCAGGCTGAACACAGATCAAACATTGAAAAAGGCTGATCGTTTCTCTGAAACACCTGTGATCATTCAGCACTCGTGCCTGGGTCATGACCATCACCAGGATGGGTTGTCCTTTGTTTGGATCAAATTTGAACCTCGGCTTAGATTTAGTGTTTTCAGCGAAGACTTCCAAAACATGTCCAGCAGTCTATCTGGGACGTCTTTTTCTGTGCTGCCAAGAGGTCAGGGTATGTGAATGTCAGCCACACCATGTTGACATGCTTTATTCGGGCAACATCCTGTGGCAAACCTCTTTGTGCTCCTCCGGAAACTCTTGGTGAGTCTGTGGCAAGGTTTCGCTTGGCCACAACAGTCATTCAACCCTGGCCACAAAAAATCTGTTCACCTACTATGAGTTGGGGTCCAGCTGAAGTGTTCACCAATGACTCTCGGTCGTTGCTTTCGGGGGGCGCCAACTGGGCCTCGGACGCACAGCTTGCAGCACCCCCCCACTGCCGCACGCCAGGTACACCGTCGAACCTTGACTGGGACAACACACAGGTTGCTCCTTCCAACACAAAAAAAAAGCAACAAAAGGTGCTCGTGCTGACTTTGACACAGCACCCCGCATGCTGGTGCTTAGGGTGCCCGGCCAGCCACCCCAGCTTGGTGCTTTTTGACCTTCAATGCGGTTGATCAAGGCAATGCTGAGTCTGAGTAACTCCTTGGCCAAAAGCTGTTCCTTCATATTCAAGACGTTTGAGGCAAGCCAGGCTTTATCATGGGTTGAACGTGCGATCTTGGCCAACCAACAAGAATGCAGCAAGAACCCTTGTTGGACAACCGCACCCTTCGAGGCTTCAAGCTCTTTTTCTGAAAGAAGAGCGCTTTCCATCAAACATTCAAAGACCCTGTGCCTCACTCGATAAATGGTACATACAAATCCCTTCTGGATGCCTGGCACCGCCATTGAACCCAGTATCTCTCCTGATGATCCTCAATTGCATCCTTTCTTATTCTGGCTTTAGCAGACTTGCAGAATGGTGGGCACTAGTGCACTTCCAGCCATTTCAAGAACAGTCGAGCTTTCGGGCCCAAAGTGAGGAGTTTCTGAATGAGGCCGTAACGAGCCACTTGCGGCTTCGGAGCCGTCAACGGTCCACGGGCGTGGTGTTCTTTGCGTTGACAGGGCGTCGCTACTAACATGCAAGTCACAAGGGCATCGCTGCCAGGAGACCCAGTCCCTCCAGTTTTCCAAGTACTTTTCAATACAGGGAGCCAACCTACCGCCTCACCTTCGATCAATTTTTAAATCCCTCAAGGAACCCCCAAACAAATACAAGCTTTATAGATGCATACATTGGCCATGATTGGTCCACTATTACCGATGAATTCCGAAAAACGCTGAGGCCCCCGACGCTGTAATTCCCCAATTCCGCTGAGGCCTAGCCCAGCGTCGTCGTAGGGACGAGCACCTGCAGCTCGTCCCCGACGGCTCCAAAGCGTTCGAAGCCCCAAGCGCTTTCTGCATCGGAATGGGGTCGCATCAAACCACCCAAGCATGGTGAGCATGCGGTTTCCGCTCCACTCCCAGTCTATCTATGGGTGGATATCGCAAGGGAATATGGCCGTGTTTCTGCCCCGCTATCAGCCCAGTACAAATGGCGACTTTGACTGTCCGTCGCATGCGGCAACACCAAGGTTAAAGAACGTTGTTGAACGAACAAAGCGGATTTTGTAAACGTGGGATCTTGACTCTGACTCTAACTGTGCTCAGTACAAGTTAACAGAAAAATTAGGGATCCCATGGCTACAGCTCAAAAATAGATCAATATTGATGTATGAGCCAAACCCATATTATGGATTTGTATCCTCACGCACGAGCCAGGTCTCAAGCAGTACATGGATGTATACTTTCTACAATTTTCTACATCTTTCTACTGTTCTTTCTAGCCAACTCCGGCTGCGTCTTGAGCTTCAGCACCACACCACCAAACTTCAAACACCTTGACTCACCCTTGGTGGGAATTGAAACTACTAGTGCCATGAAGTACCAGGACCATCCAACTTTTAGAGGAAAAACATATAATATACCGGGGCGCATAGATGGCACGATAAAAACCGTCACCTCATCAACTTTCTTACCTCGGAGTAGACGTATGTAGGCTGCAGCCGCGTTGGACACTCGGGCTTCAGCTTATGTGAGTCGAATCGAGACGTCAATCGTCTGGGACTCCCCAACTGCTAGGGACACGGCTTCCGAGCAAACTGCTGAGGTCCTTGGAGGTGCTGAGTGTGATTCACTTGTGATTCATCTTGAAATATCTTGAAACTATTCCTGGGGTCAATGAAAGTACTTTGGCACTGGATTGGATCAGAAACTACTTTTGGCATCTGCCCCAAACTAGGAATCCAAACCAGCTTCCCAATAGGAGGCTGGAGCCAGCTGCTTTTAACCCAAAGGAACGCGACATATTCTTAAAGGGACTGCCTGCTACTTGGAGAGATTTTGATTCATACAAGTAGGTGAACCAGGATCCAACTCCAGAACCCGACAAGTATGTGTTGCACCAACAAAAATGTACAATCAACTGATTGTAGAAACAAATGATGAACGCAAACCAAACTGGAAAGGAATGCAACGTATTGGGCAAGCTAAAAGGTTCTTTCTCTGTCGATGAAGTGTACTTATTTGCAAGACATGAGATTGGCGCACATTCGGATCCTCTGTTCCTCCATTCCTGGAGTGACAATCAAGAAAGATTGCTTGGGACTATAATATAGAATCTTGATGCATAAAGGCATAAAGCATCCATATGAGGAGGTTTTTCAATCCAAACAGGGGGGTTTCTCTTAATTAATCAAGAGTCTACATTAACATGTCCATGCTTTGGCTCAACATGCTTTGCCTTCCACTTTCGTTGAACATTCTCGGCCCACTCAGCTGCTCCGCAGCGGTCCCTGTGCGGATCCATGGGACTTTTGACCATCGAACGTGTAGCTAAAACCAAACGCACCCCATGCATCGTCAGCTTTGGAGGTAAAGGAATCATGCTGGAGTCAAAGTCTGGGCCAAGACAGTCAGGAACATCAATATATAATCCGTTATGATCTATCAATACTCCTCCATGCAATCAGCATGAAAAAGTATTAAGTATCCAACCGACAAGACATTCAGTCTGACCCTTGACTGCCAGGTGTGCCCGACACTCATCATCAGCTCTGCACTCTGCACGCTCAAGATCCGCACCTGAGCCATGAAGGGAGGCTACGAATGAGAATCGAAGCTTCCAGGAACTGGACAATCCGTTTCTTCGAGGAAATCACGACGAAGATGCTTTTCCTTCCTGAAGAACGAAATCACACATTCATGTTTTTGAACAAACGAAAGTGATACTACAAGGTCTATCAAAACGTAGGAAACAACACAAACCTCAGAGATATTATATATATATGTATAATTGTAATTCATGAACATACAACATACATACAAAACATTACAAAACCTCCATCATCTGCAAAAATAAGCACATATAACATTGACACGATCTCATATCGGTATATATGCATAATTGTATATTTAGTATTTTTTTACATTGCAACTTCAATTTCTTTGTGTTTCTGGTTGATATCCAGGACACCGCGTTGTATATAGATCTGCATTCTTTTTTGATTAAACACATCCAGAAAACAGCCAAAGCTCCGCGACATCCACGTCCGAAACGCGTCCGCTACCTCCTAAAACGTCGCACACCGTCTACGTGTCCACCGTCGGGGAGTGAAGCAACTCGACGTCAGTGTTTACATGTGTCGTGTTCGTGTCGGATGTCTCACCTGTGGACAAATGTGTTTAGCGACACACAAAAGAAAAACAAATTCGACAAAAACAATGAGGTGCCGGCCCCACAGTGTTCGCCCCCAGATGTCACTGCCAAGAGAAACTTGGCCTAAGAAGCGAAGGGGCGAGATCATCCATCCATCAAAGCTTTTTTCATTTGACTGACTGGCTACTTCAGTCCCTGTCAGGCATGGATAGAATCGTTCCCGCACCCAACACTCCGAGCAGACCTTTGGTCTCGTAGACCTTTGGCCTTTGGTTCAGAGGGCCTTCCGTTTTTTGATATATATATATATCTCTTTCGAGCCATTCATCGGGCCTGGAGGTACTTGAGCTTTCACATGATAGGGCAGAATCGTTTCAAGCTGCTTGTAAATGTGCTTGTATGTGCATGATAGGAACTGCTAGAACAAGCTCATTCGTCTGAACAGGTCAATCTTGGATACCTCCAGCCGCACCAACTGCCAACTCTCCAAACACAATCAGTGGGGAAGTTCTCCGAAATCGCCACAGCGATCATTCAGCACCACCACCACCACAACACTATAACACTATGTTACACTATGTTATAGTAACACCATCACCACCATGCTAAGACGTGAAGCCAAGTGCTGGTTCCAATGGTTTCACCCTTTCACTCAAAAGACCAGGGTGCTGACCAAACATCAATGAGGAAGTACTCTGGGATTCAGGCACAACCAAGCTTGTTCTGATGTACGGTACAACTCATAAGCGTCAGCGCGTACTGATACAACAACGCCAACAATAGTCTGATCTCTTTAATTGGTGTGTTCATACAGGCATTCAGCACTTTTCGGACTCAGCCCCTCTTATGGATGCTCCATGCAGCATGGTTGCAGGTTCAAACATGCCAAGACCGATGCTGCAAGAATGCCGTCCGGTGACGTAGTCATCCATAGTGCTAAGCCTCACAGACTTCGGTGCAACCCTTAGACGCTTTGAATCGAATCGTTTCTCTGAAGACTCCAATTGTTTGACCTGTTTGGCAAATCGTCTGATGCAAAATACCGTCCTCTTCTTCATCTGCTTTTCATCTCAAGTTGCAGGAGTTGTTGAGGAAAGAGGTCCACTGTTTCAAGGTCCAAGGGATCCTTTTCGGGCTGCTGTTCGGCTGTTGCGGATAAGAACTGTCCTTTTGCACCGAAAACACTGCTGGCGCGCAAGCAGAAGGAAGAGACAGCGGTTGCTCTCAGGACTCGGCAAGCCACCTTCTAAACTTGAAAGGCCTGGGGCTTGGAGGATGTGTGGCTTGGATCATCGGAGAAAACAGCATCTTTGTTGAAACAGCAAAGGCCTGCCTCATGACAGAGCTGTTGCCTGTCTCTGTCTGTATAGAAAGCTGTGTTGGAGCCCATGTACATAAGAGCTGTATAGAAAGCTATGTTGGAGCCGATGGGAATATGCAAATCATGTATCAATCCGTCTGTCTTGCGAAACCACACGCACAACCTCGCACAACCAGCGGCCGAGCAAGCGACCTTCAACCTCTCTTCGGTAGCCGCTCCTATCCGGCCACCAATCCATGCTATATCCACACCATATCCATCCTTATCATACGACCTACCAGCACTGCTACCTGCCCTGCTACGACCTGCTTGAGTTGTTCACTCCAAGCCCGACTCCCGGCCTGGCCTCCACCCGCCGATGGCACCAAGCATTTGGCCCAGCGACTGCGAGCACCTTGCGGCACGGGCGTTCGATAGCGGAAGTCCGGGGCCCCAATCTCTGCATGGGAGAGCAATTCCATAGTTTCTCCATGTTCCCGCGCTTTTTGATTGAAAAAGGAATGATGTGAAAACCACCATCAAACATAGGAACCATGGCTCTTTTGAAAAACAACAGCGCAACCTGATGGTTCACTTGCGACATGTTTGTGCTGATTGTCGGCTGGTGGTTTGCAGCTTGAATGCAGCTTGCTTCTGGCCACAGTACAACTTGAAGTGCAAAAAGGGCCAAACAAAAAGGAGCTAGTTTGGACAAGTGGTGGTATGCAGCTTGACTGCTGCTAGCTATGACTTGAAGTGCAAGAATGGCAAGGCAAAACGAGCTCGCTTGGAAGGGTGGCTCCTGCCGGGCAACTTCACTGCTTGCTGGCCCTTGTGGCTCGCCCGGCCTTACCTTGGTCGTTAGAGATCGCCTGAGGTTTGATTCCTCTTCAAGTTGGACTGGCAGCACTTTGGGGTTCGTTTCCCCTTTAGTTTGGAACCATGTGTTACTCACAAGGGAGGTGTTTTTTCCCCATGGCTTCGGCCGGGAAAAAACAGTGGTTTTGCTCATGGCCGAACGGCCTTGTGGGGCCTTCGCTGCTTTCTTCAGCCCCTGTCAGGGGGGTTTTCGCTTTCTTTGGATCCGGACACGACTCCGGCCCAAGCAGAGGAGTGGGGAATGTGTCACTTGTGTATAGCTGTTGGTCTTGGACCTCGACAAGACCTGCATAGCTTCTCACATGCCTCTACCCCATGAGTTAGGGTGGGGCATCCAATGCTCGGGAGCTCGCTTGGACGAGTGGTGGTATGCAGCTTGCCTGCTGGTATATAGCTCCGACGTGAAGTACCAAGAATGACAGGTAAAATGACCTTTCCACGCAAGCGGTGGTTGTCTGTGGCCTGATAGCTCAAGGCTGCAGGGTAGTGCTACAGTGTGATGAGCCAACGTGCTTTTACTCGTTCTGGTGACGCACAAGGCTGCATGTCGTTGACTTGGACCTCTTCTCACCCATGAATGGCCTCCAGTCGGGCCGGGTGAATGCACAGCAGGAGGAATGCCCTGAACCCTTGCACGGTCGCAATGGGTTGCTTTCTTTTCAGCTATGCTCGCTCTTCGTGAGCTTTTGGCACATAAGACCTCAGGTGGACGGTTGCCTTAGCCTTTGATCTCTAGGCTTCAGTCATATTGGCCTGGAGCTGATGCCACCAAAGTAGAATTACTCTAGGTGCATGTAGGCTGCTGGCTAGACCATATGGCTGATCGAATCGCGAAAGACCCTTCTTCCAGTGTTTTCAAGCCATTTGGCAATCTGGGCCCCATCTAGAGCAGACTGTTTTATAATGGAGTGAAAGTATTGCCGTTGAAGGGACAAGAAATTGAAACCAACCACAAGGACCCTTCCTTAACTGACAGCCCACTTTGGATTGCTAGAAGGGATACACACCAAAACGAGGGTTGAAGGAAGAAGCTTTCAAAGGTCATCCAGTCATTTTGAAATCCATCTGCGATGCTTTTTTATCGTGGAGCGGTAATTGTAGTTGTCATCACACAGAATGCCCTAACTCAGCTGCTTAGATAGACAGAATAACCCAGGAGCATGGACTGCATTCACTCAAACCAAGACTCCCTCCTCGCTGTGTTCTCTGGCACAGCAGATTGGGTTGGACGGCTTTTGGCTGGCATGGTGGTGTACAGTGCTGTTGATGGCATTGATGCTGAGCCACTTGGACCCATACTGGGAGAACAGTGGAAGAGAGCAGCTCAGGCGAGGAGCAAAGGATTTCAGCAGTTATGTGTATAGATATTGTTGAGCTTGGTTCAAACTCCGCGAACAAATCCCAAGCACGGAAGGGCACAGTTTGGTGATGCCAGGCGTCAGCCGACACTGTTGAGACTGCCTCTGGTGGCTGTGAAATGTCTGGCGCAGCCGAAATGGAACATTGTAAGTGGAATGCTTGCTACAACAGCATGAAAGCACTATCAAACATCTTGACATCAGGGTATGTCTCAAAATACTAGGACCCCAACCAATGGTTTTCATCTACTTTCCAAAACGAAAGGATTTGCAATGATGCGTCACTCATAGACTTGCAACTCATCGCCACGATCGCTCCGGTGGTGCGCAGCCTTTCTTTGGATCTACTCGAACGAGCCGGAAGTGCCGCCCGTCGCTTCCCCATTGCTTTGACTTGGTGTACCTCCGACGGCCGGCGTTGGCTGAGGAGGGGAGGCACTCATGGATATGTGTACTCCTCTTGAAACTAGGCCAAAGCAAAGTGGATGTTGATCTACAGTGTGTACCACCTTCGCAGTTCCAGAAGAAATGCGCAATCTTCTGTGTTACACAAAGATAAAAAGGACCCTTTCTTTCTGTGGACGGTTGCAATCGGCTCTGGATTCATGAGAGCTTTGCATCGCACAAGTCGAAGCTGAGTGCAGAATCCAGTGGTTGGCTCTGCTTTGCAGAATGGTTTGAAACTTACAAGGCCTTGCAGCACCATTGTTTTCCATCTGAATCATTGGGAAGGAAGGATAATCAATATAACAGGAACATAGAAAGGAACATAGGGTGAGGCAATTTAGCATTTTGATCATTCATCAGAGTATACCCAGGAATTTCCCAGGCCATTGACTAAGCGCTGCCACGTGCAATGGGACTCAGTGGATGGCTCTGCATCCTCAGCGGCAGCATGACATAGTGGGCAGATTGGCTGCACGTGAGTGGTGTGTAGGCTCTGTATGCAACACGCTTGAGGGCTTCCAGCATGAAGACCAGGTTGGAGGCCATCGCTAGTAGGTTGGAGGCCATCCCTTCTAGGTTGGAGGCCAATGCTATTTGGTCACAATAAGCATGCTGGAGGACTTCCAGCTTTGTATGCAGCCTGCTGGAGGACTTCCTGCATGAAGACCTGCTAAGCAACATGCTCTCAGGAACTGTCAGACCTTTGCCATGTTGGGCATGACCTCAACCGCTGAAACCGTGTGACATGTTTGCAAAAACAATGAGGGTCCAATTCTGGATGGGTTTGCTTTAAAATCAAAGAAACACGCCTGCCCTCCATATCTGCAAAACCGCTATGGTCCCGAATGATTGGTCCAGTCACGCCGGCCACGCGGCCAAAGACTCCACCAGCACCTGGCTCCAAGCTGCACCCGAGGGGGGCGCTTGGAATTCTTGTATGAGATGTTCATCTGCATTGATGCATGACTATATATATATAATGTTATGTTATGTTATATAGTACTATATTGTATATTTATTATATCAACATAATATATTATATATATATATTTCTACTACTATATTATATTATGATATATAATAATAGATATATATATATATATGTGATGTAATTCAGAGTAGATACTTGTGCACGATACTCACACGTCACACTCACCACAGGTTCAAAGCACCGAAGCTGTCGCCGGCCTGGGGCGTGCAGGACCAGCTTCGCCGTTTTGACCTCCGCAGTGTCAAGGCATTCTGGGTCATCCTTTTCGCCCATCACAGACTAAACAGTCGAATATTAGAAAAAACATGAAAAAACACACGCACGCAAAACTGCACTGCTCTGCAACACTTGGAAAGAAAGCGAACTGTGCCGAAGCACTTTCTAATAGTTCCACTAGGCTGATCCAAGGCTCAGGTCTTTCAAACCAGAAAGCCGCACATGTTCCGAAAGACACCTGAAGCCGGGACCCTGGGACCCGAAAAAAAGTGCTCGGAGCAGGGTCTTGATCGAGTGGGGCATGGGGATGGCAAGAGACCGACTCGAAGGACTCTCTCCGTGCCACCGGGGCCTCCGCTCCGAGGTCGAGCGAGGTCGAAGACCGACATGGCCCGCTTTCTGCAGGTCTCGCGCATTGTCTGTGTGGTCGCAGAATGTTCGTTTCGTTTTTCTTTCCCCACTTGAACACACTGAGTGAGGAAGACCGTCTCCAAACCCTGAGCCGCTTGTGGGACCCTGCTATGCTAAAGGGAAAAGGAGGAGACTGTCAAGCAAAGGAATTCCTAAACTAAACTGTCAAAACTGCGCGAATTCCTGACAATTCACACCGTGGAGATCACAGAGGCCTCCGAAGACTTGGCCAAAGCCTTGATCTCCTTGTCCTCTGCGGGCGTCTCAGTGTCAGTGTCCATCATGAGCATGACCTTGTAGAGGGCCGCAGCCAAACAGGATCCGACGAGT